AAGTGAACAAGAAGTCATTAGTTAAATAATCTAAATCTGAAAAACGATAACAAAAAAGCAACAAAATATTTTGAATAAAACCAAATAAATAGCTAACCGACTCACTATAACTTAGTTACTGTGTGATGTATCAAGAATGACTTTCCTGTTGACTCTTTTTTTTCTTTCTTCTATTTTGCAATTTTGAAGGCGTTCGACGACAATATATGTGGCACGTTGTAAATCTTTTTTTTTCTTTTCTCTTGCTTTTCTTTTACACTATACTTGTCAACCTTCCTTGCTCTTGTATTGCACACGTTTTATTATTATCTTTTTTTTTTATAATATAAAAAAACAAGAGAACGCCCATCTAGAGCGTATTTGGAAAGAATATATGGAGCTGACGAATATAAATGTTTCCCTCATGATGTGTATTGGGTTCAATTGAAACCACTCTATATTTTTCGATTCCAATAAAGTGAAGCATGACTTTCTAGTTAACTTGTTTTAATCATTCTATGCAAGACTAAAACGAAAAAAAAGGAGTCCTTGACAGAAGACACAAAATGAGAATGGCTACGAATGGTTTATTGATAAAATAAAATAAAAATTTCACTAAACTCATTTTCATTAACACATTCAACCCGATGCGAGCCGCCGATAGCTCACGGCAAAAAAATCTGAATATTTTCACTCTCTTTTAGCCAAATGATCTGTGTTTTTCGTCGATGATAGAGGAATGTTTAAAGTTTTTATTCATAAGAGAAACGTCAATAAACGCCGTGTTAAGGTGTTATAATTTACTTCAAGAAAGAAAGATGATTTTGCATAGATTTCGAAAAAACTATGTGCATGCATGACAACTTTGCATTATAATTGCTTCAATTTTATTTAAAACTTATTATATTACAACTGTTCCTCTGTAATTTGAAAGAAATATTAGCCTAATTTGTGAGAACTTGCTGAATTTACAACGGTTTACTTATCTAAAGTAACTTTGAGAACATATATGTGGTTGTATTTTTTCGAAAATTGCAGAGAGTTGCTTTTGCTTCTTGAAGTCAATTATAAAGCTTAACGCGGCGTTCATTGACGTTTCTCTTATAAATAAAAACTTTAAACATTTCTTCTATCATCGACGAAAAAACCAGTTCATTTGGTTATAAGAGAGTGGATATATCCAGTTTTTTTATCGTGAGCCACCGGTGGCTCACATCGGATCGAATGTGTTAAGGAAATAATAATATAAGTCTTATTTGCTTATTTTTCTAAGTATGCAACACAAAGCAATAACTGAATTTATCAGTCAACGCCAATAAATTAAGTTTTAGTGGAAGCGTCGAGTTAGTTAAGCTCTAGAACAGAATATAACAAGAACAAGAACATAATTCTTCATTTGACGAGATTATATCGGCTTGAATAATTTCGAAGTACGTGAGATAAACAATTGAAGAGTAGTCACCAAAACGAGAGAAATACTCAAAGATTTTGTATCGAAAAAGTAGGATTGTAATAATTAAAATGAATTGTTACACGAAATTGATCGATTCAACTTTGATTGTTGAGTAAAACAGGATGCGTCTATAGAGTTTCTTCTCGTATGTATGAATGTATTAAAAACTCTCGAAATCATATAAATAAATGTTTCATTCTCATAAATATATAAATCAGTTATTGTAATACATATCGGGACCAGTATAACATGTAGCAGATGATGTTTGATTGTACATTTTAGATTGAGGTGATGCCTCAATTTCGCTACTGCTGTTAAAAAGTTTGAATGCAGATAGTTTTCTTGCATTGTAATGCGAGTTGTATGAAGCAGAGACCGTCACAGGGCAGTTTTTTTGTGTCCTGTCCTGCCCTTTGCCCTGTTATACCTTGCCCTGCCCTGCCCTGGACGATAAAACATAAAATATTTTTTGCCCTGCCCTGCCCTCAGGGCAGGGCAGTACAGGACAGGGCGCCCTGAGGGCCTTTAAATTGAATCTCAACTATAGGATGAATTTATGACATGATGAATAAATCTAATGGGTCTTGTGTTCATTATATATGCCTTGTTTAAGTCATTTCAACAGAATATTATCCATGCGTAGAAACAATCAAAAGTTCGTTTAAATTCTATGAAAACGATACTGTTTTTATATAATTATAATCCTGCTGAGATGCTATGTTAGTCTTTTTAAATTGTCAAGATTGTTTTTAAATTTCTCTAGTCGATTAAGATTAAATAACTAATTTAAAAAAATAAAAATTGATAAATACTTTTGATTAATGAGAAAAAATTTTGAAATCTTATCAGTGAAAGAAAACGAAATAATTAATCAAAAGTTACACGATAATCGAGCGAAAATGATGTTATTTGAGTTTATTCTTTATAAAAGAAATAATTGGCTTTAATCAAGTATCTTCACTTCTCTTGTACGGATCCAAAGAATAAGCAGGATAACTGCAGAAAAATCAGATATTTATCAATGAACATAGAGATTGTGATTGCCTGAACGCTATCATTTTATCGATTTGCAGATTTTCATCGCTACTTACCAAGAGGTTGCGATTTATTTTCTATGTGTTCTAAATACTTTTGATGTGATAACCTTGGTTAAACTTTTCTGAAGTGGGGGGGAACTGTATTGTACAATGATAAATCAGAATGAGTATCAAATTCATTAGTTCTGATGAAACCAATTGAAAAGACAGGTTCATCACTGGTTGATGGATGTTGATGGAATTCCATCGATAATAGATGTTTTGAAAGATTCCATTTAGCTTCGAAAAAGGCTTCCAAATAAACTTATGTGAAAAATTAATAGGGCAAAAAAATTTGCCCTGTCCTGCCCTGTACTTTTCTTCGGTCGCCCTGCAGGGCAAACAGGACAGGGTAAAAAAAGAAGTTTGCCCTGAAGTACAGGTCAGGGCAGTACAGGGCAACAGGGCAGCCCTGACCTGATGACGGTCTCTGGTGTGAAGTGAGTTACCGGATGCGTATTCTTTTGTTGATATAAAAAGATCAATTAGAGATTGTGTTTGTTTGAGAGGCTCATCTGATAGAATAATTTGAGTGGTAGCAAAAGATAATTTATCGAATTTGAAGGGTTCTTCATTGATTTTTACCAGTGAATACTGAGAGATAGATGCAATAGTACTAAAATAAAACCAAAAGATCTTGCTCAATTTCCAGTGTGAAGTTTCGAACAATTACCTTTGAAATAAACTGAAGCTTTCCATGGCGTAAATTTCTGCGAAAAAAACGCATTTCCAAAATACGTTAATGCCGACCTGTTTGATGCGCTTCCCCGATATGAAAATTAACAATTCGAAATGCCGGTAAGAAGAACGCGTTTCAAAGCGTTTGTTCTAGAAATTTTGAAACGCGTTAAATAGGTCATCATTAGTGTCAAGTTTGGTATTCACGAAGCTCATGAAACTGTTTTGTGTTTCCGAACGATGACTCATGAACTCGAACAGGTGAACCGATCTTTTGAACTTCATGATCGCCGGATTTGACTCCATTAGGCTTCGTTTTGTAGTGATATACCAAAAGAAATGCATAGAAATGATAGCAAAGGATCTGATCGATTTAAACGTCACACAGAATGCAAGAAATTAAAGCATTATAAAAAAGAAACACAGCCTAGCAATTTTTTGGAAACCGAAAAACGGGTGTTTTTTGTATATCAGCCAAAACTAATAATTTTGAACAGTATTTATGAATCTTGTTCGTATCAAAAAAAACTTCACACTGGTACCTATATCATTTGAAAAAAAAATCAGTTGATTAAACTTGATAAATAATGAAGATATTCAAATTTACTTTTCTCGGAGACTTTTGGAACACCCTGTATTGTGAAGCTACGAAAATATCTTGTTATGATACTGATCTCAATTCTACAATGATCAGTTAGTTTCTTTAAAAGACTACTATAATAGTTTGTGGCATTCTTTAACCATTTTCAAATCTAGTAGCATATGAAATTTGTTTAGTTCATAAAAGCATCAATTATTATATGGTTTAGTTTGATGAATTTTTCATGCGAACTGGAATGACTGTTTCACTTACTGGTGGGAATGAAACTCTTTATGGTGCGTCGTATACAACTGCTGATGATGTTAGTACTTCTGTCGGACGCACTAATGCAAATAGTAACTATGTTATTAGAGAGTCAACAGAAAAGCTTTCAACAGTAATTTTCACAGTCAGCAATCTTGATAAATGGAATCTACTAACAATGACAATTGAAGAAAATAATGAACATCTCTCAGCATTTTCGTTTAGCGTACGGTGAATAATAATCTATTAACAGTTCCACTGACTTCGAAAACAGTTCAAATCGAAGTATTCATGAGATAATGATATTATTTCCATGCAACTCACTGCTGTACTCAAGCTTTGGAGCTCTTATCATTTTGAAGCGTTCAAATGAATCTGCCGTTCAACACCCTAAAGCAAATTTTTTTGCTTATTAACGCTGTTTTTTTTTGTTATGGTAAACTAGTTATTTGACAACTCGAAAAAAATCATAGCTATTGATTTTGTATCGATAAGTGTTATTGTGTTTTTCGTTCTTTGGTTACGTGTTTATATGTATGGTTACTGTTTGTTTCTATTTTCTTTATCCGTTTGTGTATGTATTTATATTTTTTTTACCTATAACAAGTAATTATCGCATAATAATTAGTCTACTCATATTCGTGAGTTAGTGTAAAGTCTAAGAAATAATTATTATATTCAAACAATTCATTTGACTCTACAATAAGACATTTTCACTGAGAAAAACCTCAAATACGAAAATATTTACTTTTTCTTCTTACTCTTGCAAGTAACTTCTATCTTGTTTTTTCTTCTCTCCATCGTACCACGTGCGCTGTGTCGCGAAATGGCTTCCATACACTAAAGAAAAAGTTTCGTTTTACCTGGTAGGTAATTATTTGTGTACTGTTCCTTAATAAATATAGAAAAAATAATAACATGGGAGAATTCGTTGAACTATAACATAATTTGTTCTTCTAGACATCTTGAAATGACTTCGACTAATGACAAGATCGATACATTATCAAAAAAGATTGCTGAAATATCTATTCAACAAGATATTATATGTAATACAAATATCTCGGAAGCAAATAACTATTATAAAACACGACAAACTTCAAAAGGAGTAAATTTTGCTCGTCTTGAAAAAGGTCTTCTCTTATTTATCTATATTCATGAAACAACGAAAAGCATTCTTTACTCGGAAATAGCACTATGGGATCGTCGTCTATGTATACAAATGATAAAAAATGGTGATTGTCCTAAACTCCGCAATCAATGTCGCTATGAACACGAGACTTTGTATCGTCAATCAAATATCTGTCCTTTTTGGTACACTCATTCATGTACTTATGGCACTAAATGTCGATTTTCTCATGAATTTTTTCCAATATCTAATTATCATCATTATATTCTTACTAATACAGATAATATTGTATATAAACTTATTCGATTTGTTCGAAACTTTGCTGGACATTACATTGATTCAGCAATTAAAGATGAAAATGATCTACAACAACTTCATAAAGAAATGGTTGTTTTAATGGTACATCTTGTGCATTTTTTAAGTCCTAAACGATCTAATTCAATTGATCATCTTAATTTGTTTCTCGAAGCAACCACTATTAAACAATTAATTTCACCAGATAGTCTTCTCGAAGAATTAGAAAAACCGTACAATGTACCTAAAATATTTTTAGAATCAACTCTGAATTTTAATACTCATTGGTATCGACATGGAACAAATAAATGTTCTGTTGATTTTAGTCAAATGTCTACTCAATTTATAACTCATTTTAATAGTGTTTTTATCGGTTTTTACGAAGGACGTCTTAAATCACGTGGTGCTCCAATTGCATGGGCTTGAATATTTAAAATACTTGATTGATAATCTTATTTCTTTATCTGTAATCAAATAATATATTAACCATGTTAATAGGTATTCAGTTGTTAAGCAAGAGTGTTTAACGAAATCTTAAGTTGCTGTTCTCTATTGAGAAATACCGTCAAAGATCAATGTTATTTTTTATTAAAAAGAAAAGGAGCATGTTCTCAAGTACACAAAAATAGGAACCAATAAAATATTCTTTCGATATCATTGATTCATAGGAATTTTGAATCAAATAAATGGAAACGTCTTTTTGGCATTTGAGAAGAGCTATGGGAATGAAAAATATCATCTTCATAAAATATAGAAAAATAAAGTTGTAGTACGTGATTAGGATTTATCGTTGATTCTCTGGATAATAAAATTAGAAGAAAAGCTTTTGGAATGTTAGATGATGAAGAGCAAAGGAAAAAAGAATGGAAATAGAAAAGTTTAACAGCTAATGTCATCAGAATAATTGATATATGCAGGTTTCAATCTTACATTGAACTTGTTTTAAAAAAGCTTGAAAAACAACTGGCCTTTATTTCATGTACTATCATTTTTTCTTTTCTTTTGAGACAACATGTACTGGTTATCATTCTGGTTAATATTTGTATGTCATAGTTTGATGACACAGAGTAGTAATAGACAGCGATATTTTCAAGTCGATCTTTTTCAATGAGACCTTTTTTGTGAAGTCCAGTTGATGACACAGGATGAGGCATCATCAAATTCCTATCTATTCAATTCGACTTGTTCATCATGTCAAAATCTTATCAGTATTGGCGCACTACTCGAGATCTATAGAATTATTGATATCACCGTTGATTGTATCTTTTTGTACATAATTGTGATTGTTGTGTTCATGATATAACTGAAGAAATATTTCAAGTAATTAATACTTCTCTTTAGAAGTTATCGAGTGATTATGAACATGTACAAAAAATTTCAATATCGATTTATGTATCTCCACCATACAACAAATCAGAAGGATAACCAATTAGTGTAATCCAAAATGTTGATGATTTTACTTACAGTTCATAAAATTTTCTTTTAGAAGTATATATATATACAAGGATAAACATGAGAGCACCTAGGTTGACTGATCAACAGTAATGTAGATTGAAAAGAAGATAAATATATCGAAATAGAGAAGAAGCAATGAATAAAAAAGACATTTCTGTGAAATAGAACTACTAAATGTATATTGGTTTCATCAATTAGTATGAATGATACGAAGAAAAACAGTGATTAAGTATTGCGATCATACAAGAAAGAAATAACCAAAAGACTAACGGACGAGTAGTGGTAGAATTAAATATAATAATGCCTGTTATGATAGTCTAGACGAATATAAATGATTTTGCCCAAGAGAGTATCTTTCCATGCAATAGAGAGGAAATAAGCTGATTTCTGATAGTGTTAATTTCTTCATGTCAGCAGGAATTTGCATGTAATATTTACGAGGGTTACATGTCACGCTAGTAGAACATTACTCAACTCTTACTATTGAAAATATTTTTGTTGTTTAAAAATAGACGACGTTGACCGAAATTCTGAAAAGATATAGTCTTAATCAATTGTATTAACGAATAGTTGTTAAAGTATTATCTTAAAAATTCATTTAAAAGAAATATATTTATTTCTGATTATGTATCAGATACATGACATATCTTCTCAAGTTTTCTAATTGCTATTATTGTTAAAACCAAATACTAAGAAACGTGTTTTCATTTCTATATGTTGATTGATTTCTTTTTTCCATAAGCCATGTCACAAATTCTGGTGATAAACATTTTATATCATACAAAGTTTCAAATGTGACACTCGATAAATGTTTAAGTTGTTCAATAATTAATTTAGTATCATCAATATTTTTAACTGATACTTGTAAATGTTTTATATAATCAGGTACTAATAAACAAATATTTTCTGCACTTGTTAATGAACTATCAATTGTCAAAGTATGTAAATTCAATGTTTGTTTAAGTAAATGAGTAATATTAGTAAGTTTATTTGAAACAGATTCTGAATCAAAATCAATACTGATTAATAATTCAACGATATATGATAAATCAATAAATGTTGAGAGATATTCAATTGAACCAATGGGCCATTCATTATCAATAAAAAGCAAGAGTTTGTTCAGTTTGCGAAAAAGAGTATAACTTGCTGATGTATTCTATATAAAAAAATAATAATTTGTCACATTTATTTAAATAATTTAAAGATAAATCTTTTCCTTATCGAATCTAAAAATCAAAATTCTCATCCATGTTTTGAACTCTACTCGCTATCTATAAATTAAAAAAATGATCAACATTATCAATCTTTCTCTATTATTCAATATCTAATTCGCTGTCTTTAGACAGTGGATGAATACTTTTGATCATATACATTCACTGACTTGAATAATGTTGTGTATTAGACAACATTTGACATATAAAAGTCAATTTGTTTTTGTAAATTCATTTAAATACCTTTACATCTTGATTATGACGAGCCATTAAATCAGTTAAATTTAATTGCATTTCACGTACATTATCTGTCATTGAAACATCATTATAAAAATTTGAATACGTTGAACATGTAATTTTATCTTCATGAGGATAAAATCTTACTTTTGATTTACAAATTGGTAATGAATAAATACTATAATTAGCTGAATCTTTAAAATAATAACAAACAACAAACCAATGTTTATTATCAATCCAAAATGGTGTTCGAAATGAAGTTATCAATGATTCAACATTAATTGAATCTTCAACTCTAACATCTGTAGTACCACAAAAAGCAAATTCAAATTTATTTAATTTTAATAATTTCTTTTGAATAAATTTTTCCCAACAAAAACCATTAGATAAATTTGTTCCTCCAACTATATGAAGATATTCTAATGAAGGTGTTAAAGATAATATTAATTGACATTCATTCACATTTAATTCACTATCATCAAATGTAAGTGAAATTAATTGTGGATAAGAAATTAAAGAATCAATATCAGTTAGATCTTCTATAATACAATCTTGTAATACAAATTTTTTTAATTGTAATGAATAGGAAAGTATTGTAGAGAATTGTATGAAATTTATACGATTAGATAGTACGAGAGATTGAAGTAAACATTGATTAGGCCATATTAAATCATCGATTTTACTCGATGATAAAAAAAAATCAAGATGTCGAAGATTATTATTAGATATTATTGAAGAAATTAATTGTAATGTTTTTGAATTTTGAAGAATATTATTTCGAAAAGTAAATGATAATGATATAAGAATATTTTTAAATGGAAAAATATTATGAAAATCATTTTCATCGATTTCTATAAGTGTTAATGAACGTAAACAAGTAAATTGTTGAATTTGAAAAAATGAAAAAAAACATTTGATTTGATTTGGTGTTTTATTATCATTTGAAAGTGTAAGTGAAATAATATTTTCTGGATGTATTAAATAACAAATTGAATGGAAACATAATTTAGATACTGATTGAAAATTTAATTTATATTGATTATATGTATTAATAATGGATTGAAATCGTTTACAAACATTACCAAATGAAAATAGAATAGTTTGATTATCAAGATTGTTTAAAATACGATAGATTAATTCAACTGGAAGTGTAAAAAGTGATGGAATGTTGATGTTAGTAGCCATTTTATAACTTTCAACGCGTCTTCATGTTTATGAAGTTTGATGTTAGAAAGAATAAAAACAATCTTGTTTTCGTTCTGCGAGACAAGAAAAAACAAAAGTACTCGAAAAAACGAATGTTTATGAATGTCTTTTGAAAATGATTGAAATGTAGATTTACCATTTGATCATGAGATTTAAATTTATTGTTCGCATAAATTTTAAATAGATCGTTTTGGTATTTATCATTTGATTTAAATCAAGGTCATTGTATGAGAAAAGAAATCAATGCGATATAAAACACACGTGTATAAAATGAGTGGGTTTTTATTGTCTTACCTTATCAAGCGATAAGATGACTTAAAATATAACTATACTATTACAATATAATTGTTGATTTAAAAAAAATCATCAAAATTAAAATTGTTTTTTATTAATCGATTCACAACTAGATATTAGAAGTTTCTTTCATTTCATGATTAATTGAATATGTGGATGTCCTAGTAAATCTACTGAATTCAAGGTATCTATATCCTGAGTCAATTGTCAGCAGGATACCTTTTTGGATATTCTATTACCAGTATGTCACAAGATCTCCGTTGAGTATCCTGCTGAAAATTGTCTCAATGCATGAGTACGTACTTACTATGTACGTATCTACAGTTTCTATAGCATTCTATGAAAAATTTCTCAACAAATTATTAGATTGAAAATTTATAAGCATTTTGTAGTCTACTGATAAAAACACATAAAGTACTCAAAGATTCATGCGTCATACTGGTAGCAGGGTATTCTGAGCTCAGTACATTCGGGAGAATGATCAACAACTTTGTAACTATTCGATAAATTCATCATTCATTGATGATAGGTCTATATTTTTTCATTCATCAATCGAAGATTTGACATTGATTGAATGAAATGAGGGTGTGAGTGGGTGTGAGTGTGAGTTTTCTATTCACTCATACCTAATTCGAACACGAAAGTTGCAAAGACTAGACAATCAAAATCTTGAAGAGCAAAATATTGAAGGAAAAACATCAAAAAAAAATTCATCTAAGAGATAAAATCTCGAAAATCAGTAATACCAAAAGAAGTATCCAATATGAAGAATGTTGAATTACAAGAATTTAGAAAAGAGTATGTCAAAAATCAAAATATCGAAAGTGCTCAATATGGGAATAAAACTATTGGAAGTTTTTCAATATTGTATTTTTTTATCGATTTTCTCTGCTAAATGAAAGAAAATTAGATTCTTTTTTTCTTCTTGAACGTAAGAATATCGTCGATAGATGGAAACTTTATTATACCTTCAATTCAAATACAATAACTAAATTTTTAAGTAAACATACAACAATGAATTAATTTAAAAAAAAATTTTTGTGATCAAGAAAGACACCCCTTGTAAATATTCTTGAACATAAATATCTGAATTAGCGTGAACCAAGTTCAAAGTGTTTTAAGCCTATCTTATATGAACCATACACAGATAAAATATAAAAAAAATCAACATGTAACAAGTCCTGAAAAAACCAAGAAACTATAGATATCATACTTAAGTAGTCTTGGGTAAGTTGCAGATAATGTCTTCAAGTCTGTCTTAGAATTTTTGGGAACGACTTTATTTAACATGGACTTTAAAAGATGGCTGGATAGGTTATAATGCATGAACTGAAAACCTTTGATAAAATATGAACTGGTGACACACACACTATTCGCAAGATTTCATGTTTACGCAGTGTCAGATTCGTCTTCCTTGACAGAAAAAAAAGAGAGATACACTCAGGAATATAACGATAGAACAAGTACACGAACAGATGATCGATATACGAACATGATGTTCCGAATTAATCAAAATTTGGATATGGATTAACATTTTCTTTTTGTTGTTTTTTTTGTGATATTTATATTGCAGTAAACTTTTTTTCGATTCAGAGACATACAAAACGACCAAACAAAACTTAATTTTACCTTTCAGTCTTCTTAGAAAGAAAAATATCTGAATATGAAATTAAGGAAAAAACGTTTTTTTTTCGGACTTTTAATTAATAAAAATAGTGCAAACCTTTAATTATAGGGGGGAACGTCACACTTCATTACATTAGAATTAAGTCTGCTTTGACTTTGATATACATAGCACTGAAGAAGTTTATCAAATGATAGTAAAGCATAATATAAAAAATCGAATTAAGATTAAATCGATGTCAGATAAATAGATATGACACAGTAAATCAACTATTCAAATAAATAAAACAAAATTATCTTTTTAAACATGATAGAATATTTTATGTACTCTGAAAGACAAAAAGATTCGTTTAAGAAATAAAACACAATGAATCAATAAACAATTTGTCCAACTACTACAAGAATTTTCAATCTCATTTGTGTAATATTGTTCAATGCATCACTTATTTATTCTCATAAAATAATTGTGGTTGTATTCAAATAGATTGTATAAATTCGTAGAACACATAGTTAGTATTGAAAACATGTGACGTTATTTTTTTGTCATGATTTCATGATTCATGATTACGCTAATATTTCTTTTTTCCTTTTTTCGGGTTTCATTGGTCTATTCAAACAGAAAAAAAAATCATATTTTGATAACATAAGTAATATAGCTAAGGTTTTTTTTGTTACTAATCATCTTTATCAATGGAGCATATAAAAAAAAAGTGTCAGTTTGTGTTATGTAAAGCAACAAGGTTACTGTACAAGTCGACGTAAAATAACTAGTTTTACCGCTGTTTGATATATGCCGCTTCTTAAATGCTTTACATGGTGTAGTGGAAGACGTCATGATTTAAAGCGTCAACTAGATGATGTTGATGATTATGAAAATGTACAAGGAGAAGAAAGTGACGAAGAAAGGATAGACTGTGATGACAAGAATACAAGTCATCATAATGGAACAAAAATGGTCTATTTTGCTTGTGAAACACCACAGCAACGTATTATTGACTTACTCCGATCAATAAACAATTCTGTTGAGGTAAATTCATCTGTCTATATACATATGTATTTGTTTTACATAAATCATCTAAGTAAATTATAATTTCAGACGTTTACAATAGAAAAAGATTGCGTGGATTATATAAGATCAATAATTAATAAAGTTTTTCTTATAATTGATGGTTTACCACCGATGACTTTGATTGAAGCCATTGAATCATTAAAACAAATTGATTCAGTATTTTTTTATGCTCCGTATTCGGATACAATTGCTGAAATAGGAGAACAGGAACACGATTACCTTATTAATTTATGTGAAACTGAAAATAGACTTCTACATAGTCTAAGAAAATCTCTTGAAGAACTTGATAAACACACAGTTACACTTAGTATATATAATAAAAAAGACACAGCAATACGAGATCTTTCAAAAGAAACTGGTTCATATTTACTTTTTCAATTATTCATACATTTATTAAAAAATATGCCAAAAACAGCTCAAGCAAAAAAAGATATGGTTACAGTTTGTCGAAATTATTATCGTGGAAATTTAACTGAATTAAAAAATATTGATGATTTTGATCAAACATATAAATCAGTTGATGCTATTCCATGGTTTACCAAAAGAACATTTGTGGATAAGTAAGTTTATTCAAAAAAAGAAAGAAAGAAATGCAAGTTTATTTTTCACAAATATTTTTTCTTTTATTTTAATTTTTTAGATTTATTAATAAGGCACTTCGTACAGAAGATATTGAAGTATTGTATCAATGTCGTTTTTATATAATGGATTTAAGTGAACAACTTGAAATAAAATTTTTAGAACAAAAAAAAAAACAAAAAGATGTTCTTAAAATTTATCGTGGTTTAAAATTAAGTCATGATGAATTAGTAAATTTTCAAAATAGTATTGGAAATTTAATTGCAACAAATGAATATTTATTAACAAGTAGTGAACGTTCAGTTGCGTACAATTTTGCAACAAAATCTGCTAAGAACGAAGATGTTGTACGTGCTTTATTCGAATACCATGTTGATTTAAATGTTGTTCAAAAAATTGTTATTGCTGATATTCGAGAATATTCAGCATTTCCAGAAGAAGCTGAAGTTTTAGTTGATGTCGGTAAGAAAAGTTCAATGTAAATCGTTAAAGATAAATATTTACAAACCAAGAAGCACAAATCATAACACAAACTGTTAGAATATTTCTATATCAACATCGTTTTCTAACACAACTTTGATCTTATTGTCTGATCTATTGCCATACTTGCATTGAGATTAGCATAGTACTAGTTGTTTATTATGATATCCAACATGTAGTTAGCTAGGAAGGGGTCCTTTCATACCCGATCAGATCCGAGTGCACAAAGACTTGAACACAAAGCTTCCTATCAACGTGTCTTATTACAATGTCTGAATAATGTAATTATTGAAAATTCAAAAAATCGTTTATCAATCTATGAGAAAAGAACCATCGTCAAGTAATTTTTGATTATGGATTTTTTCAGATATTATCCAAGTAGGATAATGTTAAAGCTCTATGAAATGCAATATTTCAGTTTTCAATCTTGAGAATACGTTTATCAGTGTTATCGGTATATAATAGTTCATGCATCGTCAAATAATTTGATACATAAGAAATAGCTTTAAGAGAGTTTTGATTATGATATGTATTTAAGAATTTTTTTGTTGAATAATCTAATTATCTTGATATATTACGAAAGAAATCCTTATTTTTCTTTTATAGGAGCAGTATTTCAAATTGATTCTTGTGAGTATAATGCCGAAGATGATTTATGGCATATTCAAATGCATGCAACTGATCAAGGAGCTGATTCAGCTGCTGAATATGTCGAATACCAAAAGAAAAAAATGGCTGAATCTAATATAGGTCTAATGTTTGGTAATTTACTTCTTGAAAATGGTGAATATGCTAAAGCAGAAAGATATTTTGATACTATTCTCAATTGTTCAAATCCTAATGATGAAGAAATTGCTTGTATCTTTTTTAATTTTGGTCGTACACATCGATTAAAAGGTGATTTTAATCGTGCAATAAAATGTTATAATCGTGCATATAATTTACATATGAGTGCTCGACCAAAACGTTTAGCGAGTGCCGGAAAAACTTTAAATGGTCTTGGTGTTGTTTATAGTGAACAAGGACGACAACTAAGAGCTGAAGAATTTTTTCAACGAGCTATGAAATTATATAAAAAAAGTATTCCAAAAAACCATGTTGATGTTGCTGGAACATTAATTAATTTGGGTACTCTAGATTATGATCGACAAGACGTAAGATAAAAAAAACGACCCTACCGCATAAGGTGATCCATTCAGAACTGAGAAATCAAATATACCATGTTGTAGAGCAAGACAAGGTGCGTCGAATCATATATAATAAATCTTATTTTCATGAGGTTTTGAAGGAACTAGATTCAAACAAATTACTAGTAGATGATTAAGGATCAAAAGCATCATCAGTAAGTGATCATTATCGGGCTACTACGACCTCGTATGCGGTAACATCTTCGATCATTCTATCTTTGATAGGAAACAATTCAACTTTTTGATGATCGACCATCGTTTTTCATGGCTAGTTGTTAATGGTGAGTTTTCGTGTGTTCAATCGTACCAATTACAAAAGATATGACCACTCGTCAAACTTTCCTAAAAATTGTCCACGATGTAGCACTACAAAATTCACTGTTCAGAAGTTCTTCAAAATTTGTGCGTCATGCTCAAAACTGCCTTGCATTGACAAATCTAGAACAATTTTTGAATCATTTTGCTCGGTTTATACTTTGTTTCAATATTCGGAGTCGCCGTAAAAAGTTATATCAAACAGACTATATTTCGTCTAATTTTTTTTGGTCCACCAAAAATGGACCCCTGGAGAACCACAGGACAAACTTCGAGAAAATATGACTGAGAAGCGGTACAGGTCAATTTTTGATGAAAAACAAATTTAGACGAAAGATAGGCTATTTGATGCAATTTTTCATGCTGATTCTGAATATCATATTTATTTTATATGCGAATGAAGTTTTGATACTCAGAATATTGAAACAAAGTATAAAAATGGGAAAAATGATTCAAAAATGATTCTAGATTGGTCAATGTAAGGCAGATTTGAGCATGACGTACAAATTTTGAAGAACTTTCGAGTAGTGCATTTTGTAGTCCTACATCGTGAGCAATTTCTGGAAAAATTTGGCGAGTGCATACATCTTCTGTGGTTGATACGATTAAACACACGAAAACTCACTATTAGTAACTAGCCGTGAAAAACGATGGTCAATTATAAAAAAATTGTATTGTTTCCTATCAAAGATAGAACGATTGAAGATGATAACCATACGAGATTGTAGCCCATTGAAAGCTTTACAAAATTGCCTATAAAGAAATTTTTTTTTACAAACACTTTTCACTGATACCAAGCCCAACAATGATCACTTACTGATAATGCTTAGCCGTCTACCAGTAATTTGACTCTAGTTTGTTCAAAATCTCATGAAAATAAGATTTATTATATATCATTCGATGTGTCTCGTCTTGCTCTACAACGTGATATATTCGGTGTCTCAGTTCTGAATGGATCATCTTATCCGACAAGGTGCTTTCAAATAAATCTAAAACTTTTCTTTTCTTTCATCTAGTATGATCAAGCAGCATTTAAATATCTTAAAGCTAAAAAAATTTATGATAGTTCTCTTCCACCAGGTCATCCAAATCATGCATTACCAAGAGTTAATTTAGGTAATGTTTATTTAGCTACTGAAGATTATACAAAAGCTTGTGAAGAATATGAAGTAGCGTTGAAATTACAACAAATATCATTACCAAGTAATCATCCAGAAATAGCTCATACATTACATAATCTTGCAATTGTTAAAACACATCTTGGAAATGTTGAGCAAGCTAAACAATGTTTAGAATGAGTATAAGAAATAATTGCTCATACATTATCAGAGAAACATCTAGTTATGGTTTTACTTAGTAAAAAAAAACCTTCATGTCAGACGAAATTGGAGGATATATTTAAACGCGGGATTAACAGACAATATTTATTTTTGTATTGTAACGGTTTTTCTTTTTCTTTTCCTCTTTGTTTATTAACATGAACTATTCGAAATAAAATACTCTGAATTTGATATTTTATTGAACAACAGTCACTATCTTTATATGAAAAAATGAATAAATTTCATTTTTAAATATTTACATTATTCCCTTTTCTTAAAGAAAGAGTCTTACATTTGGAAAATATATGTGTGTTTGTCTGTCTGTCCAAGCCAATCAGGAATGAGCTTTACTATTTTTCGGTTTTCGATCACTCTAATAGAACTTTGCTATAGATTATCGAGGGCCAGGATGAGTGTGAGAGAAAGCCACACAAACCCACATCCCATCTAATGCATCATGGTACTGCAAATCACATATAAAAAGTGTTGTTATTAAATTTTTCAAAGAAGAAAGAATTTAAAGATATAGTCTGTCAGACACATTCAACTGGCGTCGCTTCGTCTGAGCTTCTGTTATTCAACTATTTTAAAACATAAATTAAATATCTACCTAGATGCAATAAATTTAACTAAGCAATAATCGAGTAATTAGTTTGATACATTTTGATGAATACAAAAATATTATTCAAAAGTAAATCGAACTTGCTATTGAACATTGTTATGATGTCTTCTAACCTTTGCTGTAGACAAAGAAATATAATGTACTTCTTATCAAAGTGATGTTACTAGTTCTCAGAACTTTTTGACTGCCCTATGTAGATCACTCTTCTAACGTAGCTTAATGAAGGAAACATTTGTAAATCTCTTTTAAAGAAATTTCACAAACTCAAAATTAACTTAACCACTTGAAAGTGCTTTTATTTTGAACTTGTTTCTACTGAAGCGCTCGATACAGTTCTTCCGATATCTTTGTTTTGTTCGATTACTCAAAATTTTGATAAGTATCGACAGATCGAAAACTTCTCGAAGAATCGAACATAGATCTTCGATAGGACAATTTTCGAGTGCTCGAAATCCGATGACTGCAAAAGAGCTCGAAATCAAAACAGAACAAATAAAAAAATATATATTTCATATTTTTAAGCGCTCGTCACACCCATTGTATACTTTTTATTATCTGCTTGGGTATAATTTGAAAAATTTTCGTACAATTTCAATAAATATTCAAATTCAATTTCCAAGTATCTTATTAAAATATTGTCGAAATGATGTTAAAACATAAGATAGTGTATTTCTATGTTTCATTTTCAAGATATCACTATTCAATGGAAGTATTTTTTTTGTTTCTCGATTAATCCAAATTCGAATAAGAGATGGTTGTCTTGGATGTCTTGTGATAATATGTGTTGACGATAAATAATATTGTAACCATTGAACAAGTTCATTTTTTGAAGATGAAAAATTTCGAAAAAATTCTTTATCATCTTCACATTCAAAAATTAACAATCGAAGTTTTGACATATGTCGAATAAGATCAAGAATATTAATTCGATGTTTAATACGAATTGAAAGAATTTCACATTGAATTCCAAGTATTGAATTAATTAAAGTAAAACAATCTTCTTTTGTATAATATATTGATCGATTAAATAAAATATTAATTAAATCAATTCGTCGAATTGATTTACTTGTTGTTAATTCAAATAATTTTATAGATGAATCAATAAATGATTGAAGTTTTAATGAATAAAGACAAGAGGCTTGATCAAATAATGTTTGTAATTGATAATAATCAGAATATTTATAAATATATACATGAAGTGATTTTAAATGATTTAATGATGGAAAACGTGACCAAAATGTATTATCAAATGAAAGATTTATCTGAAGATGATGAATATTATGAAAACGAGCACGTAAAAGACTAAAATTATCTAATAAAGTATTTTCAACATTTCCATGACCTTAAATTTTTACATGATCATATGACCAATATTGTTGTTCATCATAACAAGTTGATTTAGTACACGACTTATTTGAATAATCAAATGTATCAAAACTATAAGGTAATGTATAAAGTGTAATCCATTTATATGGATCTGATGGATTCCAATGACATCGAACATACCATTGATGTTCTTGTAGCCAAAATGGAGTTCGAAATGATGAAAGTAATTCATCAATAGTTTCTTCGATAGTATTATTATTCTCTCGAAATTCTAATTCCATTTTTAAATGAAATCTTTTAAGCTTAGGTAAATACGTAGAAATAAGTTGTTCCCATATATTTCCATCTAAATAAACTTGTAATGTTGTAATTATTAAACGAGATAGATTAGGCATATTTTCTAATAGATTATTCATTGATTGAATTGAACCTCCAAAATAAAGTTTTATTGATTCTATTGATGGCATGATATTTGTTAAATGATCATTTCTAGAATAAGAATATAGAGTTGTACAAAATTGTTGAAGACGAGGTGTAAATTTGAACAGATGAGATAAACAATTTAAATTACATGGAATATTCTCGATAGAAAGATATTCGATAGATGATGAAATTATAGAGATATTCAACAACCGTATTTCATTTGTCTGAAGACCATTTAAATTACAATGTGTAAGTGTTGATAAACTCCAAATGTTATTCAGCAAATCGACAATATTTTCTTGTCTTTCTTCATCGTCATATTTAACTATATTGAGATGAGTAAGATGAGGAAGATATCGACATTGATATATTATTTTATATAATGTATCGAAATGATTAATACGGTATAATGACAAGGATTGTAAACAAATAAATCGATTGAGAGTAAAACCACGAGATAGAAGAAGTTCAGGTAAACCAGGTGTTTCATCGGACGAAAGACGAAGTGAAATAACTTGATCAATAATTAATGGAAGAAGTTTCTCAGAAATATTATCGAAAATTTCTTTCGATAAAGATTTTAAATTAAGTTGATGAACTTGAAAATGATAGTTAAGTAGTTTGTTAAAACGAGAATTTAGTCCAATAAAGGCTTGAAGTAGATGAGTAGTATCAAAGAATTCAAATAAATCAAGTAATAATTCATTTGCTAATGATTCAAGTTGTACCATTTCTTTTTTTTTGGCAAGAACAAAACAAAAGGACCGTCTCAAGCACTCTTACTTTTAGTGTAGAAGAACAGAGAATGTGATGGTTTTATCGTTTTTTAACAAATTTTTACACTGCCTAACCATTCATCTGTGACGCTACTTTTCTTTTCTTTCTTTGATAATGATTCTCGCCATAAAAAGAAAAAAAATCAATATTGTTTCTTTTTTTTTGTAATATCAACGTGTCGCATGTTGAAATCACTATTATTGTTGGCCATAAAAACAAATGATTTACAGTCGAATAATTGAAATAAGTTGAACAAATCATAGAAGATACCTTCGTAATATATCATTTGTAAATAATGGAACAAAAAACAAACACAATCATCTTTGAAATCGAACAAGAAAGAAAAGAATAAAACATGCTTCTAAACATTTTTTTTTAATAAATAATGCCATAAATATATGACAATTCGAAAAAACTTTGATTTATATTTCTTCACCTATTCTTCATATAATTTGTCAGTAAAATAACCAATTTATTGTCGTTTGAAATCATGATTTTTTGTTTCTGTCTTTTGATACTAAAATATTTTCATACGATGAAAACGTTTTTTGTGTTGATTTATCAATTCACACTTGAATATGATGCATATTCACCTATATATCATTCAATATGTTAGTCAAACATGAATGATAAAAAAACAGCATGTAACGACGTACACAACGTGGCATATGCACGCAATGTTTTACTGTCATATGGCGTGTATGTGAACGCGTCATAGAATGAAGTATATTTACATTTACCGCGGATTATTTTGTTGTATGTGGAGACATGTTAATGCTTTTTTTTTAAATTCTTGTATGCTCATGCATGAAAATGCTTTAAAAAGACGAAGCACATAATCGCTTCCTGATATAAGCTCCAAACATACTTACTTTGTTTATAAGGCGAATGTTTCCACCATTCGTTGATCTATTAACATTGGTGGTACAAGTAAAACTAGAGAATATTATAACCACCTGTGGATGGTACGACATACGTACATATGACTAATAATAACTATTGAAAAATTCGAAAAAATGAGCAAATTTTTTGAATCAATATAGGGTGATTATTCAAGACTAAATTGATTTTTAACATGCAATAAATTATCACACGTAGGACAGAAAATTAAAGTCTTGCATGTGACAGCATTATGGGAGTAAAAGCGAAAATCTTCTTACTTCATCGTATTCTAAGGGTATATCAAAACTGTTCCTCTGAAATTTCTTAGCTATGGTCAAGTCTACTATCAACATGTGTCATGAACATATTGGTTTGAGTTCGTTTTATTTAAGCATTGTCTAGCAATAAAGTCCAAATACTCCATCATATTTCAAGAATTGAGTATCAATGAAGTAAGATGGAATATTCAGACTTTATTGATGATGTTTTTTCTTGCGTGTGTTTGCGACGTGTATCTTTTTGTAGGTACTATTGTCCTGCATTTCTGCGCAACAATTACGAATACTTAAAATAACTTGCAGGTTTGTACATAATATGTAATAAATAAAAAACTATCTTGCAAGTAAACGTGATGTCACTGGAAAAATTTTTGTTACTTAGCAACGTCATTTTTATTTTTAAAAGTCAACAATCAAAGTTTGGACATATTGTTAATAAGATTCATAAGATGTGTTGAATTTTAAATCTTAATAAAAAAAACTTTATATTATGATATTATTTTCAATACTCCTCCATGTCTCTTGTTCTCAATATAGATATTAAAATAGTTACAGAATCTTTGAATCATTATACGTGGTAAGAGTAAAGCAAATCAATGATAAGTTTTATCGGCTTTGATAAGCTATATTATCTATCAAAAGAGCGGTCAAAATCTGTTCATACAGTTTGTTACTCAAAATGCCTAATGATTTATTTGGGTCTGTGACAATTGCACATGTTCTTTTTCAACAAGATAATTACATGAAAAGACTTGAATATATTTATATACAATTTTCACACTACTCTTCAAACAATAATTCACTCGTTTTATAATTCAAACATTATATATATTAAACTAACTGATAATACTATAACATAAGACAACACATTCTAAATTCTTTTTTTAATGTTATACAAATATTATAACGGTAAATTTTATGGAAACTTCATGTATTTGCGAAGTAAATGACGATGATTCTTAAGTTTCTACTAAATATGCATGATTGACATCAGTTGATATGGACTACCACTTGTTGTTTTACCAAAACCAACACCGATATATTCAGCAATACTTACATTCAATTGGAAAGGACGCAATGTATACTGTTGAATTGTTTTATTTGTACTGATTTGATCAATCGATACAGTATACATGGAATGTGATATATAGTACGATCCAATACCAGTATATCCATAGAACCGATGAAACTGATGTTGATAGAGTGCAAAATTTGATTGAAACATTACTGATAAAGTCAGCAAGACTTACAGGTTCATTTGTGTTGAAAATAAGATAATTATTGCGATTATCATTCACACCATTATTAGTTACACTTCCATAAGTTTTGGCTACTGTAAAGAAAAAAAATTCAATAAATGTTTAATAGAAAACACAAATATTATATGCGTGATTTACTGAAATTAGGTTTTTGTATAATTTCTGCAGAACATTCTACAAAACAAAATCTAGTAAAATTTAAACTAAATGATCTTTCGAATTTTTTTGTATCAAAAGAAATATATATTGATTAAATCAAATACATGCAGTAAATGATGGACCAATGGGCATTTATTATTTAGAAAGCAATTTGCTCAATCATCATTGAATCGGTTTTCCTCCCTATTCTTTTATATATTTAGCAATTTTAACAAGTAAAAATATTTTGAAACATCGAGATATCATATATTGCCAGGTGCCCGATCTAGTTGTAGGACACTAGTCCTTGATGAGGCGCGTATTTTAAGAAAAGGATGGACGGAGCAATGACAAAACTGTTTTTTCAGCTGCTTCGTGGATCTCTGGCATGTAATGAGTTTATTGGATAATTTCTAAGAATAAATACGATATATATAAGAATATTATGTATACAAAACCAAAGTGACATTGAAAGACTCTATTTTTTTCGAACAACTATCCACAATCAATTTGTTAATATAAGCAAAATAAGAATTTGAACGAACCGAAAATTCATGAAACAATTGATATAAAGAGAGAGACAGAGAGAGAGAGAGAGAGAGAGAGGCAAAGATATCATTCAGTTTGTATAGATTAACAACTGTGTTGAAGAAGTATTTTTGCCGCAGTACATTTGTTGTAGATACATATAGATTTAATCAATAGATATCAACAATCATTTGATTGTAATCTTTTGTTTTTGTCGTTCTATTTTCTAAAAAAAATATTCTTTTCTCTACAAAGAGAAAAAATAAATGTCGATCTAACCGAGTCTATTTAACTTTATGAAATAGTCTTGTATTTTGATTATTTTATCATCTTCAAAACTCAGGTCTTTTCTCAACACAATCGAACGATGCAATTTTTCTGTAATATAATATTAAAAGTATTAATATTTCTGGAAATTTATGACATGTAATAATTAATAATTGTCAATGAATCCATATGTTTTACTAGTCAAAAATCATAGATGATGATATGTCATCAAAAATGTCATGAAAGTTTTTATTATTATTTCAACATTTATTGATATACCTTGAAGTATATTGGAAAAAACATTGCTGACGTACTATTCATCTATGATTGATAAGAAAAAAAAATAAATCCTTTCTTTGCTTATAAATATATGAAAAGTTTGATATAAATCATATTCTTTATATCGACAACAAAAAGAATTCAACACAATAATGCATGTATCTGATGCTATTATTGGTATGAGATAATATAATAATAGACATAATTCATTGATTTTTCTTTATAGGTTTACTTCTAAGTTTAATCTTCTGCAATTGTGAGAATGATCTTTCTTCAGTTGATACGACTGCATTTATTGCATCAAGAATTTCTATAGATCTCTCTCCATCAAATGTAACTAACTTGAATGAAACTGAGCCGACTTTAAATAATACTGATACATCTAATTGGATTGAAATTGTTGCTACTACAGCAACTTCGACTGAAAATGTTACGACGACATCGACTACAACTGTTATCATCACATCTACTTCGGCTAGAATCAGTATAATATTATCTAAAATGTAATTCATTATATAGTAATTATTTGTATTATTTTCAGATGAGACAGCGCACTCTAAAACACCATCCGTAATGAATACAACATCGACGCCTCCTCAAAACACAGTTAAACCTACAACTCCTTCAGGTTAGTTATAAATTAATTGATCTTTTAATTAAACTTATAAGATTTCTTTTTTAGCAAAGCCGAATTTAGGTCTTATTCTTGGTCTTTCGCTTGGTCTTGGATTACCATTCCTGATTGGTATAAGCATTGCTATTGTTTGGTTTCGGAAAAATCTAATTTCAAGTTGCCGTACATCCCTGAATTCTTTTTCCTAATTCAATGGAAATATATTGGTGATGAAATTAACAATAGTATTTGAGAAATTTGAATAAGATTTTTATTTATTGGCTTATTTGTTTGCTATTGGTCTCTGATTATCTGTAAAAATACGTCAGAATCGACTTTAAAAGCTTAGATGTCTCTTAAAAATAACTAATAAATTGACTTAGTTAACTCTAAAATTTTAAAATCAATTCTAACAATCATTTCGTATTTATGAAAATTTTTTTTTTATATTGAAAAGGTAAGAGACTTTTGTATTCAGCATGCATTATTAAATATATTTATATCAATAATAATTCCTGAATGTGTTGATTAATATATTAAAGAATACCAATGCGATATAATGAACTTTTGAGAAATGCTTTTTTTTTGCAGAAAATCAATTTGATGATGAACTAAATTTATAATTCTTGAAACCACATTTAATCTTTATTATGAAATATTGAGTAAAAATCTCATATTTTTGAATAAGTATTAACAAGAACAAATAAAATCCCTTGCTCTATCAACATAACATTTAAGTCACGTTCTTAAGGTTGTCAACATATTTATTATATTTCTTTTCGTATGTGTGTATAGCATTGACGTCAATTGTAAGCATGCAGACATCTACTATTTTTCTTTATGCATGCCCGATATTATTAATTAATACAACGATTTATTCAGTTGAAAAAGATGATGTGTATGACATCATAGAGAATATTTGCAAAAAGTTAAAATTCTAATCTTTATCATTTGATGTAAAATTTGTTGAATGAGTCATCTGGTCAAAATATTAATCAAAGATATTTATGCGTAAATTGAAGTGAATGAGTAAAATGATTATGATATTGATATTCTTTACCTAAGTAAGGAGTGTGAAAAAAACAATAAGTCTAAAATATTACACATTTTTAATCAATGATTAATTTTAACTGAGTCTTTTTTTTTATTTTTTAATAATTTTGCCCTAAATTGTAAAGGTTGTGACAGAATATTTTGTTGATATCTCAGCTGATTTCTATCGCTTAGATTATTTTCTTTCCTCAAAAGATTCGCTGTGTAATTCTGAACAAAATCGTATAACTGATTCAACTAATAGATTTTCTCTCTCTTTCGAGAACACAACTTATTTTAACAATAAGCTTAAATACAACTTTCCAAATCTGTAATTTTTTTTCTTACAGAAAGCATTTTTATTTTTAAAATATTGTGACTTTCGTTATGATACATTTTAGTGATTAATTGACTTTAAATAATGATTTGCAGTACACTAGTCATGTTAATAAACTGTATATGTATTGTAAAACAATCGCCACAATAGTAATAAATACCTCCATTCACATCACTATTTTGATTCTTATCAGCATTTATAAAAGCGGAAAAGATTGAAAATAAATCTGGCTGAATAATTTTGGGAGCTGTTATAAAAGTTATCTCTTAAATAAACCTCTATCAATTCATAATATCATTTTTTTTTCAGTGACATACAAAATAAAATTTAAAATGAAGAAATGATCCAATCAGCTAAAATTCTATTTTCTGATAAATAAATATTTCTTATAGAACTTGACAATTTGTAAAATATCATATTACGTATAACATCTATATTCTATATAGCATGCATATATATATATATATCAATGAACATCTTAAAAAGTTTGTTTTGCTCAGTTCATATATACTTTTCTATTTAATAAGTTTCGTATATTATGCTTACATTTTCTTCCGAGACACTTTAAAATACTAAGTAATATGAAGAAGAAAAAAAATGTAAAAGCATGTAATAATCAATTAAAACAGCTTTTTCTGTTCGCACCTTTGAAAAATTTAAGTATCACTATTTTTTGAAACATTCTGACATAGTTTGATTTTATTATTTCAGTATTTTTAAAACTAGATTTATTGCAAATATATAAAAACAAGTTAATATTGTGGAAACATTGTAAAATACTATTCCCTAATATGATAAGTAATGAAACATATATTTTCATGGTAGAGAGAGAGAGAGAAAAAAATATTTTTAAATTGTTATTAAAATCAACTGAGTAACAATGCCGACAAGCAGTGAAAGTCTTACTGCATTGAAACCACTTCGGATAGCTTTTTATAAAAATGTGAGTAACATTTCAAAATAAATTTATTATAATTAACTGAAAAAACAATTTATCTATCACGATATTTATAGGACAAAGGTACGGCACCATCTCGAACTATTGAAACAGTAAGAAACAATCAATTTCATTCGTTTCGAAATCAATCATCGCCTAATACAAGACTAAGTACACTTCGAGATATTGATACGTCAACAGACTATCTTAGAGAAGCACCGAGTAAATATAAGTAGATCATGTATATTGTTATGTATTATAATTTAAAAAATAACATTGACATTTTAGTTTTTGTTATCAGATGAAAAACATGTGCGCTGCTAGCATTGGTTGCATTACTTCTATTACTTGCTATTAGTATATTCGCTATGTTTATTGCTACTCTTGCTCTATTAACTAAACCGACTATAACAAGTTAGTAAATGAATTTTTCTCTAAAGTAATATATAAACTCATATAAGAGACAAAAATACGAATGAAATTTATCATAACATATTTGGAAATTTTGTAATTTAATTTTTATACTAATCGAATTGTTTCTAGCAATGACTATTGAAGCTACAGAGATCTGATGCTTGTGACGTATTTCAATTTTCAATAGGCTTTTCTGATTTTTTTAAACCTAATTTTCTCAAGTTTCACTACAAATACAACATTTCTAAAAGTAGCTCGACAAACTCTATCCAACCATGAGAAAAAAAAGGCTAAAAACATGTCACTCAAAATGTTGAATTATCGACATCTTTCAAATAAATTTATTTAGTTAAATGTGTTTCACCTTACGTACAAGCACCTTCCGGGACTTGTATTAATATATTAATCGATTTTAACAATTGTGGTAAGATTAATAACGTATGTTCATCAACTTACACAAGTTGTTCAGCTGATCTATGTAGTACTCTGTCAAGTATCAAATTAGTTAATGGAATAGGCATATGAGCAGCTTCTGTTAATGGATCAATCGATGATAAATATTTTACTATAACAATACCATTTAATATTACTCTTTATAATACGACGACAACTTCTGTCACTATAACAATTAATGGTGTATGTTTTATTTCGATTATATAAGCTTTCGAATATTTATTTAATGTTTAACAGGTGATTTGTCTTCGAAGCTGTTCGACTACTTTTATTGAAACTGCTTTTCCTATTAGTGCATTTTCTGATGCAACAATTCTAACATATTGGAATGATCTGTACATTTATGCAAATACATCACAAGGTATATACTATAAAAAGTAAGGCAATACTCCAAAACGAAATTTTATCACTGAATATTACTGTAGCCATTATTAACAATCTACTGATTATTATAATTTTCAAGTCATAGTCTTTGAAAATATGCCTGGTGTTGTTCAGTTTATTTATTATGAGGTTATTGATGAAGGTGCTTCGGCTACTGTTGGTGTACAAGGTAACGAAGCAAAACAATAGACATTTATTTACTGATATATAAGTCATTCTGATATCCTAGATTCGAAGAGTAGTCCATTTGTGCAATATTCCTTCGATCAAGCTAATTCCGTGACACAAAATATGATTCTCACATTTGATGCAAATACTGAAACATACAGTAGTTCAAGCATTGGATAGAAACAGATGATAGTTAAAGAATGTTAATTTCGAAATTTTTTTCTTATTCGAATTACATTGGAACATGAAAGATTTCAGCACAACAGCACTGTTGACTGATATTTAGTGTAGATATGTAAACTATCAGAAAATTTGAATTAGGACTAAGATTCAAATTCTTGTTCCTAATATTTAAACAAAAAAGAATAATTTCATGCCTTGTTTTTAATTATTTTTGCAGCATAATTTACATTAAAAAAACAATCATTGATGAAATGTTACTAGTTCGATAATAGTATCATATCAGCTTAAGCCTTGCATATTAAAATATTTTACGCATATATCTATGTGTGCGTGTATTTGATAGGTAAAAACAATAAACTGGTTTGTACAAGCAAATACAACGCATCCTATGACACGTTTATGTGCATGACTTATTGTGAAAAATAATGATAGTTACATTTGTCACTTCATGAGTTTGAAAAAAATTGATTGTTTTATTAAATACTTATCACGTTCATAAACAAACGATGTTTTATTATAAATTATAAGCATCAAGACCTGGAATGTTTTCTAAAACATGGATTAAAGCATCTGTTTCATCTTCTAAATTTCTTTCATTTATGACTTCATTCATTGATATATGTGCAGTGAATACTAAAATTATTCACTCAGGTTTATTTTCAATTTTGTTTTCGCTGCCGTAAGCGTTAGAAAGAATTCAAATAGTGATTCGAATAGAGAAAATGATTTCCAACAAGAGTATAAGAAAATATAAATTATTATCAAATTTGCCAAGACAGGAATTTCAGAAAACAAAAACTTAAGTTTTTCAACATCTAGGACATGTGAATGTAATTTTGTTTAGACTACATAGAACAATAGAATAAATCATCCTCTACAAAATGAGATATCGCCGAGTTCTCTGTGACGTCTTGTTGACTGAGATATAGCAATTTGATTGCAGGTTAAAAATGGTTTTTCTATAAGAAATTGGAAGAAAAATGATTTTAGGGACTTCCATATGATTGCTGTATCTTAGTTAGAAAACGTTGCAGAGAACTCTGAAATGTCTCATTTTGTAGAAAACTATGAAGTCCTTGACGATAATAAGTTTTATTATAGCTGATTTTGACTATACCTAACTCAATACACATATTCATTTTTTAAGAGATCAAATTTCAGGTACAATAAAAATATATTGCGCGCAACTTGTGCCATAGAAACCAAGACAATGGATTTGATGCATCATTCAGAATTATCTAAAAGTTTTGTAGCAATCAGAAAATACAATTGTGCCTTTCTGCTCTATTTCTCGTGGAACAATCGTTGTATGCTTACAAATAACTTTTACGAGTTCGGAATGAAGCCAGTTGTGCATTGGAATCATTTAATTAAGAACAAAACATATTGATTTTCACATATCTATTATTTTGGCTGATCAGGAGTTTGAAATAATTCTCTATTCCATTATTTTGAATAGACAAGACAAACTTTTGATATAGAGATCCAATCAGGCTGAGTTTTTGTAAGTCTGGCCTGTCTATTTTTTTTAATGCCAATAACATGATAGTAATAGAACATAATTAAGTTTTCATCTTCATAGAAAGTTCAACAACTCACGAGAATCAATACAGATGACTACAGTTAAAATTTTCTAATGTAAACATCAAATCATTAATAATTCAGAGAAGTTATGTGCCTTTCGACAAATATCACTGATAACATTATGATGACATAAAGATTCACGTTTGTTAACATTGAATTCAATATTGGTTGTAAAGCCAATGAAACCAGTGAATGTACTTTCGATAGAAAAATCTTACCGTTAACGTAAGATACGCGCATGAGCTAGTAAAAGTGTATAGAGTGTACTACAAATAAGCTTTGTTTGACGAGAATTTCCTTAACTGCTGTAGAATATTTGTATAGATATTTCTATAACTGATTAAAATCAGAATATGTTGATACTGATTTCAAAATTCTTAAATAGCGACTAGAGGATGTTCAACGGCGATACGTTGCGAGTGAGTCTTTTAACTTCCAGATGAGGATCTCATGAATACCGTTGGATTTACCCTACGATCAAAACATTCTGACATCTATAATCGTACCTAAACATCTGTACCCTTATCGAAGTGTGATATTCTCATTCTCATTTTTCCTTTCGAGTACCATCATCTTTGTTCTGCATGAAACTTGTTCAGATTCTCTAAATGAAAATTTGCTGCGACATCAATACATATACATTCTTTTCGTTATCATCTTATATTGTTTGAATGAAACACAAGCTGAAACTTAAGAAAAAATGAATATAGGATTATTGTCTTATTTTTTTCAGTGAATTTTGTAAGAAAAAAAAACATGTTTTTCGCATTTTCTAAGAAAATGCTCTTTATTTGACCTTTCGCTAAAAGAAAATGATACTATAATGAACAATTTTTAAAAAATTGTTTTGAAACACTATGAATGAGAAATGTAATCAAAAAAATAATATATAATATATTCGAATATGCAATAACAATCGAATTGAACAGCAGTTTTAAGAAATTTTAAAGATGAATATCGATACTTTCAGCAGACATAAATTGATCTGAATCCAAATTGTCTAAAGTGCATGTCGAAACTGTACAATCTATAACAAATACTAAAAGAAAAACACAAATGATTTTTTTTCTTGTGAAAACTTGTTCTTGACGGATATTCTGATATAGAATTCTCATTTATGATCCATCATACTTTTAAAATATATTGTTATTATTAACAAAGAATTGGTTTTTTTTTTCGACAACAATTTGAATTTTCATACTATCCTCAGCCACTTTTCTGTAGTGAACTCGATGGTCAACATTGCGGATTTTATTTTCTCTCAAAAAAATATGAGACTCTATTTTAAATTTGTCTTTTATTGATCGTTATGCTTGACGAAATTGTTTTAAAAAAATACTACCAAACTTCTCAGTCGAATTTCAATAAAACAAATCTTCCTTATATGAAACACAATGAAAATAATTCATATTGAATAATACATACCTTGATTGACAGTCGCAGTATTCAAATTGGATTGAGATGAAACAGAAGGAGTCTCTGTTAATGTATTATCATCATTTATATCATAACCAGCTAGACGAACAAATATTTGCTCAAGTGTTGTTTGAGTTACTGAGTAATTTTCAATAATATTTTGTTCTTTTTTTGTATTGAGTATTTCAAATATAAGAGATAAATTCGATGAAAATGGTACACTTTCTATATTGTTTGACGCCGATGATGAAAATGGTACATTACAAAAAAGTACACCATTTTGTTCATCTATTCAGTTAATTGAAGATAAAAAGACAATGATATATAATATATAATAATACCTTCGATTTCGATTCCTGACAAACTTGTAGCGAGTTCCTGTTGAAATTCGTTCATTTTCTCACGAGATACTTTGACTTGTACTGAATAGCCTTTACCAAAACGATTTTTTAAATGTTGAAGATTACCGAGACAAATAAATTGACCCGATTTCATAATGCCAATTTCTGTATATAAGAAAGTATTACATTTGTAAATGGGTCAAACATGTTTTTTCGAAAAAAAATAACTCACTTGTACACAATGCTTCACATTCTTCCATGCTGAAAAATCAACGAAATGTAGAAAGATTTCCTAACGATCATTCTTCTACCTGTGACTGGTCATAATTATTGTCAAGCCAGCATCACGAGCTGCTCGAATCACACTCCATAGTTTGCGTTTCGCACCAGCATCCAAACCCTATAGTTCATCAAATAGAATCTTTTATGTATATAAAACTAGCGAAACAAGATCTTCCAGTGTGTACCGTAGTGGACAAGGTATCGTTTCAAAATCCAAAAAGAAAAGAGAGATTAGAAGCTATGTACATTGCTCATCAATATGTTTGTTGAACATGAATGTACACAATCAATAGAAACAATATAGCATAATAGGTCAGTATCTCTTATTAATTCATAATGAAAGGATATTTCGAAATATTCAACTAGATTAATGGTTTTACCCTGGAAGCGGCTGATCAGTATATTCTGGTTTTTCTACATGTTCATTTAAATCTTGATAAACTATGATAGGAATATTATGTCGTTACCATTACTCTAATGAATGATGAATCATTGGTGATCATATAATTTTTTAAAATGACTTTTTTTTTTCTTAATTTTTATTTCCCTTCATTTTTCTTTTCCATATATTTGTATAACAAAATATCATTTGATTATAAAACTAACAGATTGATGATGAAGAATATTTAACATAAGATAGCATAGGTTCAAAACTAATGTTGTCAAATATCTAAATTGAATTGGATAGTAACACTTCAAATTTTTTCAGTGTTCCTGACAGCGTGAGATATCTCTTTTGTAATATCAGCCCTATAGACAAGGGCGAAACGACGTACTCCCGTAGTCTCTGAAGTACATGAAATGCGGGAGTAAGTCGGTTTTCCCTTGCTTATAGATCACTGATCGGCTTCATCAGAGTTATGACATTTCTCAATGAATTTCTATAGACACTTCAGGCTGAAAAAAGAATTTTCTCATACATTGAAACAATTCCATATTCTTTTTTTAGGGCTAGCTAAGCCCATTTGATCTTTTTCATGTGGAACATAACAATATTAGTATCTACTTCGTCGTTTTCTTTTCTTTTCTTTTATTCTTACCGTAGTTGGTTCATCCAAAAAGACCAACGATGGATTAGCCATGAATGCTACAGCAGCACTCACCTTTCGTTTGTTGCCACCACTGAAAATTTTTCTCTAGAAAATAATAGTATATCTTTGAAGATGCAATACTCACCTAAGATTTTTCACTTCGCGATTTCGATAAGGTTCAAGATCAAATAATTCTATCATTTCATTACAAGTTATTGGAATTTCTGCCGTCGATAAACCTTTCAATCTAGGAATCCAAAGAGACAGTAGATGTCATTTATTAAATATTTACAGATTTTCTCAAGCTTTTTCGCTCATCAAATTCGCAAAAAGAAACTATTTCATGTATTGGACAAAAAAAACAACAACATTTTTTCAGGTAAAATATACATTTGAGATCAAACGAAGATCCTTGATATTTTCCTCTTTTTTTATTATTTTTTCGAATATCAAATATTTTAAAATAGCAAAAATCAATCATCGAAAAACAAAGTCATATCTACTGCAGTGATACTTAATTATGCTTCCCGTAAATACCCACAGGAGACATCGGATGCTACAAAAGTGTTAAACTGTAATAAAAAAAACCGAAAACAATCATTTTTACGTTTTTTCATTAAATATGTTGTATGAATTATTGATTTTTTTTTACCTTGCAAATAAAGTTAATGTTTCGGCTACATTTAGATCTTCGATGAGCCAATCAAATTGCGGACAAAAGCCCATTCCAATGTTTCGTTTCTTTAGAAATTCAGACAACAATTGAATGAATAACAGAAGATGAAAGAAAAACCGAGTTACCGTCTGGTTGATCTTTTTCCCGTTAATGATTATTTCTCCTGCTGTAGGCTGAATATCATTGATCAACATTCGAAATGTTGTCGTTTTGCCGGCTCCATTAGCACCTATGAAGGAAAAATAAATCTTGGAAGTCTAGTATCAAACTATTTAATCAATTTTCTATACCTAAAAGTCCAAAACATGATTGCTTTGGAACATAAAAATTAAGATGATCAACTGCGGTAAAATAAGGCGAAAAAAGTGATTTTCCTTTTCGTTTCTTGAATTGTTGAACAAGATCTCGAGCAAGCACAACAGACGATGTAAATAATTCCTTATTATTAAGAATCATTCGACGTTCATCTCGAACATCTTTGTCAAGTTTCTAACACAGGAAAAAAAAAGAAACACAAATGAAGAAATCTATTTCACCATAAAATAATCACATTATCATCTATACCGAATCATTCCATTCAAGTGCCATTGTTGAATTATTGCTATTCACTTGTTTTCTCTTTCTATCAATTGTCATATGTTCTTTTCGATTAAAACAACAACAAATTAATTGTCCGATCTTAACTCGATTTTCTATACATGTCAATATAGTCCACCAAACTACTATTTGAACAGTAAATATAACTAATTGAAGTCCAATACCAGGTTCATTCAATGATGTCCATGGTTCATCAGAAGAATAATTAGTGATCATTATAGAATTAATTACTGAAACACAAGTTGGATCTGAACGTAGACGAATATTGAATAAAGATTGTTTAAAATTGACGGTTGGAAAGAAACCCGCAAGAATCAAACGAAGAATTAACATAACTTGCGTAGTTGTACCCATTTTATCAGTACTAGATGATGGAGAAGCTTGTGAAAATACCGCAATAAAACCGAGAACCATATCAAAAAAACATGCAAATACATTTACAATTAAAAACATAATAAAACCGATCAATTCAGATTCAGGAATAAATGAATATGAATACATGAATGGTAATGAAGCCAGTGAATACATGACATATAAAAGAAAAAAATAACTTATCTGTTCGGTACCTTTATAAATTTGAACTTCGACTTCTGGATTTGGATGGACTACAGATCCAATCTAGAACAAAGAAGGACATTCTCTCTAATATGACTAGAAAAATAAAATTGATTTATTTCGACAGTCCGTAACTTAAAATTTCAATTTCTTCTTATAATCTGACTTATCAATGAGTCACAAATGTTTTTCATTTATGTGTAATGATAGATAACAACTGAGGATGTGGATCTTCTAATCACCTACATCCGAAATTATTTATCTTACCTTTACAACAATAGTTAAAAGTGCAGAAACAATCCAACATAACGTTAAATCGTAAAGAAAATTCGAAAACCAATATAATTTTTTTGATGTATTTGTTAATAATTGTAAATCTTTTGAATGACTAATACGTTCACGAATAACATTCAATGCAAGAATACTAATAAAAATTGATGCAATAAAACTATTTATAAAATTTAATAATGATAATGGAACTGTATCAAAACAATATATTCGATCGTAAAATATAGCTCGAGCTGTAACTGATGCTGAAGATGTTAAAATTGGTTGATTTATTGTTTGAATACTTTTTAATGATGAATTTGCATAATATTGAAATAAACATGTTGTTGCTATACTAAGACCTGTTGCCATTGTATGATAATTAACTGTCGAAAAGAAAACATTGAATATTACAAGTGTTGAACGTTTATCAATGGAAAAACCCATTTGATATTTATTAACATATGTATCATAGGAATTATTATTTCGTGATAGAATATAATCGATTATATTATTTGTTGATATTTCTTCAATATTTGCATTCATATTTGTTAAATAATTTTTTAAATATCCTTTTATTTGATTACCATTCTCATTTGAATGAATAACTATTGTTTGGGGATTATATATTGATGGAATAAGTGTAACTTGAGCATTTTTAACACGTTCATTTTGTAAAAGTGATGCTTGAATATCTTTTGGAGAAGACAATGTTGAAATAGTTAAAATTTCAATCAATAAAGGTCCTAGAAAGAAGCCAAATAAAACGAATATTTGTCGACGAGAAAGAATCCATCGTTTGATAATGAATGTAGAAAATCGAATCCAAATGAGATAAAAACCAGTGATATGATTGTGATTTCGAAAGAATACTATAATAATAAAGAAATAATTGAATTAAATAATAAAAATAAGAATACCGGTTTTTGCTAGATTAGCTTTTGATTTTTCTTGATTTTGTTTTATTTCGTTCGTTTCTTCTTCTACGAGTCTATATATTATCAAAAAGAAAAAAAAGAAGTAAACAAAACATATGTCAGCTGAATTTTGAAAATAAATGATTTTCTGCTTGGTCACTCATATTGTTTCAATTTAGTATTCATTTCTATATTAAATATAGATTTATACATTTTTGATCGAATTTTTATGAAGTATAATTGCTACTCGCCACGCATTACACTCGATTCACTTCAAAGATTGTGATTGATTCGTTGAAAATTCTGAACTTCATATAGATTTAAAGTCTCAAAATAAATAAATACGTCTCTCTCTCTCTCTCTCTTTTAATAATATAATTATTTCATCAAAGTCTCACGTCCAGCATGTCAACGTGTTTTTATCATAGCTTGTAAAAAATCTGACATAAATTCTGGTTTTCAACTGTGATGAAAGTTTTTCATAACATAAGTCATTTTTTTGATACAATTTGTTGTCATTTACAATCCTACATTAGATACATATAGAATGATTCATACGTCTTTTTGTTCAGCTTCAATTAATTGAACTGACTTTTTCTTTGATGATAGAATCTCAATACAAACAAGTAAAATCAGACTGATCTCGCTATTCTGAAGTTCCAAAGTAGTATATATGCTAAAAGTTTTAGATTACTATTTTTAAGAATGGCTAAGATGTCATGTAATATTTTCCTTTATTAATATTACTAGTGCTAATTTAAAGCAATGCCTCTTAAAGATTTCCTATTGGATAAAAACTTTCCAAAATCTTCTATCATCGAGAAAGGATCCGTCTGATTTGTTTGAAGTAAAGAGAAGAGATTGATTTTTTTTAATCTGAAAGATACTTCTTATTTACACTGTATATCAAATGTCCTACTTTAAAAATACTTCTTCCACTGTTGTCATTGATAAACCATATCCCTTAATACCAATATTTGGACCTTGCTCATCGAGTGTATTGATTAATCGACTAATTCGTTGTGATGCACCACGTTTGATGCCAAATACTAGTTCTGATGCTGATTGTCTTTCTAATACAGCAGTTTGTATATGTTCTTGAAAGAATTTAGTAACATGTTGAATGTCACATGTTTCATTTTTCTCAATAAAAATACGATATTCAAAATCTAAGATATATTAAACTTATGATACAAGTTATGTTCACATGGAATTCTTCAAGAAACCTGTTTGTTGTTTAAGAAATTCAGGCGTTCCATTTGCTTGCAATCGACCTTTACTCATAACAGCGATTCGATCAGATAGAACGTCAGCTTCTTCGAGAAAATGTGTTGTCAAAATTATACATTTTCCGGCTTCTTTCATTTTACGTATAATTGTCCATATAAGACGACGATTGTATGGATCTACAATGCAAAAACGCGTTAGAAGTAGTCAAAATGTTTCTTTTGAAAATGTGATCATGACTTTTTTTTACAATCTCATAAATAATAAGCAAGTATTGGAGCGAATATACGGCAAAATAGTTTTACATTGAAAAACATTGACTCCTTATAGTGGTATTATATGTTCTTTGTCAAAGATTTTGAGCTAAACACATTTCTAGTCGAAAAAAAACCAAAAATTCTGGTGGACGGAATTCATGATTTTTTTTTGTCTTCTTACGATCTTCTTTTCACAGTCTTTTGTCCTTTCAATTCTTCAACAATTGTCCCTGAAGTGCTTGTGTTATCATCATAGCTATTCACACGTGATAACTTTGCTAATTGAATTCAGATTTTTAAATAATATAGATACAAACTTTATGTTCGATATGTGACCAAAATTTTGCATTAGTCTTTCTACCTCCAATGAAAATCTATATCGACTTTGTCCGGTCGGTTTTACGAATCATAGTTTTTTTTATGTATGTAGCTGCTTTTTTTTTGATTCTTCAATACGAAAATTAGAATTTACATTTAAGTTTTGTTGCATCATGTATTCATATAAATTTTATTCTCTACTAGCTGGAGCACATGCATACAATAAAATTGAACTCAAACTTTAGGCTTGTAATAAAATACTGAGACTTGATTTCTCTGTAAGACTATGAAAGTGAAATGGATTATTCATTCATTAAAATTGCATTTTTTTGCTGTTGCATCTTCAATCAAAGCATTCTACCACAAATTCACTATTAACCTTAATTAGACTACTTATTTCCTTGTACATAAAATTACAGTTAAATTTATGCTATAGTTTGAAAACTTCATAGTGGTTTTATACTAATGATTTATTTCTTTACTATAAAAAGATATTTGACTCTTTATTTTTCCCTACTGATTTAATATATCTACTTAAAATGTATTTATTGTACTTACCAATGCCACTAGTAGGTTCATCCAAAATCAATACCTAGAATAATTAGTAGGTCAAATTCATTGTTATAGAAATGTACGAAAAAATTATATTTTTAAAAGAAATTCCTTTACTTTCGAATCACCAACTAATGAAATACCAATAGACAATCGACGCTTCATACCACCAGACAAATTATTTGCCCATGTATGTTGTTGATCGACAAGTCCAATTAAATTAAGAATATTATCAATAGATTCTTCCGCTTCTTTTCGTCTCATTTGACGCATCTACAGAAAAGAAAAAAAACATTAAATTTCAATTAAAACCAGCATAGTTTATCATTAAATGATTGTATACCTCTGCGACTAGTTTCAAATGTTCCCTAACAGATAATTCATTGTAAAGAATATCTGAAAGTATATTTTTTATTCAATGAATGTTTTCATCAAAAAAAGAATTAATATTTTTACCATATTGTGGACAAAAACCAATTATTTTTCGAATCTCTTGTATATGCATTCGACCATCCAATCCTTTGACAGTTATAGAACCCGATGTCGGTTCCAACATGCCTAGACACAAGTTTTAAAACATTAAAGAAAGCATAACATAATTTGGAAGTAAATCATGCCGACCAAATTTCGACAAAGTAATCATATCTGACGAAGTATCCTGCTCTCGTTTAAAGATGATGCATTGATTCTGATCAAATTCAACATAGATCATGTTGCTCATGATTACACTAATATTGTGTTTGAATGCTGTTATTTCGATCGAATCAATACTGCTATGTTCCGTTAGTAGGCTACATCAATAGAAAACTTCGAAGAGCACGACTTTAGCTCGTAGAATTTGTGTAAATACAAATGTAAATGTGCCTCTCTCAAATATGTGTTCAGGAGTTTTTGTGAACAATACATAAGAACTCAAAAACAATGATCAATACTGATGAATCTTTGATACTGTTGATATTTTCTCGTCGCTATCTTGTTGTTACATCTGAAAACTTCGATGTTGATTAGCTGTAACTGGACGAAAAAGTGAAAGATAAAATGTCAGTGCTAAGAGAGTTCATGAGTGGTTGATATATACCAACATAGAGAGAAATGAATGCATGACGCATAAAAATATGCGATAATACAGCATGAATAATGCAAGTATGATAGGATATATAATTAGTACATCCTCATCCACTCATTTCAGAAACGAATAAGAGAAGAGATACAGAACAAACAAAAAGATTTATCAAAAAAAAAATTGAAGTACGTCAAATAGGTTGAAGTCAAATACTCTGAAGTCTTTATACAAAAGTAATGAGGCAATAAAAATGTCTATGAAAGCAATATTATATTGCCTTTCGCTCGGGTCTTTGTCTCTGATATCTTTATTACTATTATTGAGCAATGATTTTATCTACTACTGATCATGATATTCAGCAAGTTTAAAACTTCAAATCAGAACTGTTAGAATTTTGGCAAGTGTCAAAAGCTTTGACGACTCCAGTTGAAATAAGCAGTCTTCAAAAACTACAATAAATACAATCAGTATATAATAAATATATTCTAAAGTTATTATCTTTTCCAAAATATATTTCTTAATGACTTGTTTGTCGAATGGAATGTTACTGTTAATCCTAAGTTGGATGTTATAAGTATGATATAAAACGTCTGATAACAGTTTAGACTCGATATGTTTTTTAGATGTCCCATATTTATGAGTGTACTTTAGAAAACAGTTTAATCATATGTACTAATCTCATACCAACAAGAATAAATGTCGTGGTCGTTTTGCCTGCTCCATTATGTCCCAACAATGAACACACTTCACCGTTGTAAAAATCGAGAGATAAATTCATAACGGCATTCAGTTTGCCGAATCTCTAAACGTCAAATAGTTAAAACCAAAAGCAACAAGTAGAATTTTAACTACTCTCATATCTTACTTTTGTCATATGATTTATACTTAAGACAGGTAGTTTTGTATTGGCAAGAGAACTTGATTCAATCCAGTGATTATTTTCAATAGTCGAATAATCTTTATCTTTATTCTTATTAATCTTTGTTTGTTTAATAGAAGATACTTGTTGTGATTTCCAATAGCCTTTTTTGCATAAATAATTCCACGGTTGTGATATGCCGAATTCACCTGGATTAATACGTTCAATATAAATAGCCAAAATCATATAGATAAAAGAGTAGACAAGCATTAGCAGTAGACAAATGCCAATATAAAGTGGATACGTAAATAGATTCGAATAAAGTTGAGAGAACGTTGTTATTCCATCTGATGAAGAAGAAAAGAATATAATCCTTATTCATATAATAACAAATGAGTTTTATATATTTCCATATAAAAAAGAATTTGAAGTAGTCAGTTAGATGTATCGTCACTTTTCAACGTAGAGCAACGAACAAAACTACCTGTAGAATGTAGGAAGCAAAAAATATATATGGCTAATTTTTATCATTTGTTGATAGGCAATGTGGATCAATAGGTAATGCCTCTCCTTAGCGTTCTACACAAAATATTGCTTTGAAAAGTTTTTAACTTTTTTGTTCTATTGGCAGAATTTATGCAATTTTTTTAAAAAGTTTTCGAAACAAATATAAATGAGCTATTGCTTTTACTTCTTATTCTTCACGTATGAGAAAAGTTCTTTTTTCTATGAAAACAAGTCCTTATCTCTAAGATGATAATGTTTTTGATCATCAACTAAGTAAGAGAATAATTTTTACTTACCACATTTACGTTCATATTGCAACATAACTTGAATACAAAACATGAGACCAATATTTGGAAAAAGGCACAAAAAATATTGAACACCGACTGGTACATTTGAATAGAAATCAATTAACGTGAAAAACCATAAAGTAAAACCCAACATTTTTGCTAATAGAGCTAAATGAAATAACAAAATTTACATAAATAGGTAGTCGTGGAATAGAATTTTTTTTGTGACTAGAAAATTTTATTTATTTGAATCATTGTTAGTGAAGAATAAATAACTTTTCAGACAAACAAAGATGAATTTGAATAAATTTCATAATTGTTATTCCATTTTATAATTCTCTTTAAGATTTTACAAAGCTGTTCGATTCGATAACGCAAACATTGGATCATATCGATAAACTTTTCCTTTCTCATTTCAAACATGTTTTCTTCTCTGTTGCATCGACAACAACACATGTATTGATACGTTATCATCATCGTTCGCTCAATGACAGAATGCAATATCTTACAAATTGCAAGAGATTTGATCAAAGCTTTCTTGTAGACAATAAAAGCAGTATACATCAAAAGTAATACCTTCAAAATGTATTTTAAATGTCAGAAATGACAGTTTGTCATCATTGAAAATTTTTATTATCAATGCGAGTTTACTTGAGCTTTGAAAAATGAACATTGCAGTATCTTTATATTTGTTAAGAAAACATTTCGAGTTTTACTATACTATCATTTTGCGAAATCTAAAATATTTTTTGCAGCTTTACTTTGGACCTATACTCAAAAGTTCACTCGTGATCAAACAAACGTACAAACTTTGCCTGAAATCTACTAAATACTTGCACTATAGTCTAATATAGAGGTCAAGAGGGCATGCTAGCAACAAGAATAACAATTTTTGAAAGGATAGTCCATTGGTAGGATTCGAATCGTCACTAACGAGATATTTGAGTATGTGTAGTTGTGTTAATATTACTGGATACAAAACCGATTGTAATACTATGATAAACAAATATAACAATAAAACTAGCGTCATAGCTCTTTCTAAAGTTAGATGTAGTGTGACAATCTTCAGTTCAGTTGCACCCACATTTGGAATTGATATGAATTTTTTTAGAATAGTAGTCTAAATGTATGATCATATTGAAATAAAGAGTGAGACATTAGTCGAATCTTTGTTTTTTTTTGAAGTACTGAGAAACTCAAGACCCAAGTTTTTTTATTTAGTTTGAATATCTAAGAATTTTTTGTCTGACATGAACGATGATTTGGTGTTAAAAATGAACTTAACACTTACGACGTCTGAAAAATTGACTAAAAAAGACCGTAAATGCTGAAACATGGATTGAATAGACAAAGAGAACGGTCCAAACTAGTGTCCAATGCGTATTGTTAAATATAGCTTTGGCAATACCATTTGATTCTATATTTGAACTTGGTAAAACTAGCATACTGAACCCAGTCACAATACCAGTCAACAAAAAATATATGCACATTGATCGGCTAAACCAAACTAAATTGTTTACCCAAGTACGAAGGCCATAAATACGCAAATATTCCTAAGAAAATATTTAATAGTATAGATCCTATTCTAGATCATCCATTACAATGAATATTTTTTATTTTTACTTACTTTTGTCTTATTTTCACGTTCTTCAACAATATAACCAATTGTAATAATGAATGTTATTGAGTAAATAAACGAAACAAAGATTGAAATAAAAAAACAGTAAATTGTATAGAGTTGATCAGTATCGATAGCGGGACAACCCAAATGATTCATAATTATCTAATATATAGTATTGTTTTGTTTTTACATGAATTACAAGCAAATTATTCAACTTACAGTCGGTGTCTTTATCTTTTGAATAATGTTCGTTGCATACTCGATGATTGATATATCAATTGCAAACTGAAGGCCTAGAAATTGATCCATGTAGTCCATTAATACGTCAGTCTCTAGAAAAACATAAAATACAAGTTCTAATTTCTGCAAAGAAAAAAGGATTTAATCCAATCACTACAGTGAAACACAATAGAGTCTCATGAATTGTAAATAAATATTTTCTCTATATTAATCACAATATTTGATATAGTCAAGAAGCAGCCTATCGAAATGTTTGTTATACTCTGCGATAGAAGTCAAAACATCATCTAGCAGATTAAAAAAAAACAAATTTTTGTGGATCTTTGGGTTTCAAATCTATTCATAATGTAAAAAGGTTTTTTAATGCAATCTTAACGAGATTAATTATAAATGAAAGACAACCGAGCCTCTTTAGTCATAAGCCAGATCCTTCAACAGCACGGTGATAGTCGACCATGGAACTGAAAGTGTAGTATTTCGAAATGTTCATCACGATCTATGACGTTAAGATCGCTTTTCCAACATATGCACTACAGTCTGTGAGATGCAGAGTCACTTTTCCTATTTTATACTATGATAATTATTAATAATTATATTTCAAAAGAAAAAAAACAGATGCGTTGAATATACCATGACAAAAATCTTCCGGAGAGCGTTTCGAACGAATTTCACTATCTTTAAGCTTGACACGATGAGCACGATAATAATGTAGATCATTTCTACAATAAGGACAAATACAAATAAATGAACAAAGAAAACAAATTCAATAGCTTACTCCTGCACGCGTAAAGTATAATGAACTTGATCTGGCATTGTTGATCGATTCACACACGAATCCATATTCGTAAAAAGAATATAAGCATTCATTGATAGTAGAACTTCATTTGGTAATGACAATAGACTTTGTTCCGATAAAGGTAGTGCTAAATTAAAAAGCATCAGGTGGTTGAATTGAAGCTTTTCTATGAGGTCTCATCGATATGTTAAGTATAGCATCAATTATCAAATTATATTTATAACAAACTTCTACATTTTAACAAATGATAATCATTGGATAAACTCTACCGTATGAATCTATTAAAGTCATCGTATTGGAAATTTTTGTTCTAGCTTTGCTCAGACGAATTAAAATATGAGCAGATTCATAGTAAAATCTTCTACCATTGCAATAATTCTTCGAGTCTGATGGTTTGGTTATCGATCGACACATTAAGACACATAAATGAACATTAATCTAATTGTTATTCTATTCATACCTTAACTTCAGTTACTCTCTTTGATGATAGCCTAAACGATCTGAAAAATGTGTCTAAATGCAGCATAGAAGTTTAGAAATTGTAGAAACCTATGAAAATTTCCTAACTATTATCAAAGTTATTTTCTGATTAATTACATACCAGTGAAATCTTTGTTTCTATTTTCTTTTATTAGGAATATTTCTTCCTTTTTGCCTATTTCTGATGATCGAGTATGGTACAACAGATGGAACCAAATTTTTTACTACAACTGAAATATCGGAAACAGTAGAATACGTGTTCAAGGAACGGTATATACGAGGATGATAAAGACTTTTTGAAGAAATCGCTCGTTATAGACAGACTTCATCAATGTCGTTTACGACTCCTCTAATTTCTCCTCATCGAGTTAAAAATTTCTTTGACAATAGTCAAGGCAAGACCTCAGAGGCAACTGTGAAGTTTTGAAAAAAAATCATCTGTAAAGTTTTTATTGAAAAATCTATTTACGAAATTCAACATTTTATGATAAGACATCGGAAGGTCAAAAATGAAAACGGCCAATTTTTAATTCTGGATAATGCTGACAGGTATCCGTACGCAGAATTTTACAAAGAGATATTCGCTATAATTGTCTCTGAGCAAATAACTTTAAGATGTTCTATAACTCTCGAATAGTAATTTAGTTTGAGTTGCACAGTACTTTAATTGTAGAGCACATTCATAGCTATCACTACAAATCCAACTCGAAGATAACTTTTTAGTCAAAGCAGAGCGAGGACACAATATTTAATATTATTTCAATCCATTCATTCGATTTGATGAAACAAACACAATTTGAATTTTAAAGAATGAAACGATTGATTGCACAAGAAAATGTTAATAATCATGAATCGTGAAAAAGTTATCTATGCATGGCTTATCATTTAGTTGAATTGACACTAATACGATTTGTTTCGAGTTAGATTTCATCTATAATTTGAATCTGCATCATAGTGAAATCAATTGTTCATTACTTGTATCACCGTTTTTTCCCTTGATGCTGTTATTAACCCAAATTGTTTCTATCTCAGTAGTCGTACAAATAGCATACGTCTCTTCTCTTCTCTTTACTATTGCTGAAAAAAAATGGAAATATGACAAGAATGAGAATTGAAATTCTCTGTTTTGAAATGACTACTGAAGATAGAGATGGATGTTTCTTTTTATATCCCTGTAAAGGTATCTTTCAAAAGTCGACAGACAATAAAAAAATTGGATATGATCAACCAATTTCGACCAACGTCAAATCTCTCGTCGTTTACGATAATAAAGAGTATATTTCAATCTATGAAACTTTTGTAATGGATTATTTTG